CCAAGGCCCTGGGCCCCGCCCACTTTGCGTCTCGGGGCGGGGCCACGGTGAGGGGCGGGGCCAGGCACAAAGGGGCTCAGGCGCGCGAGGGCCGCAAGTCGTCCAGCTGAATTGGCGCTGGCGGTCCGCGCGGTGTCAGGGTAGCCGGGGCCTTCCCGCTAGGCGCATGCTCTGAGGCCCTATCCCCAGGCCGGTCGGCGCTGGCGGGCCCCCCGTGCTTCCTCATTTTTTGTTGACTGCTCAGAAGCAGCAGGCTGCCCCTGCAGTGCCCTGACCGCATTCTCGCGTAGAAATGCCGATGAGGCAAACGCCGGAGCTGGGGAGGGCCTGGGTGGGACCCAGCAGCATCCTGTCATCAAGTCCAGGCTGTGGAGTGGCGCTGAGACAGGAGCCAGGGTCTGCCGTGTGCGGGGATGAGGGCTGCATTTCAGCTAGAGAGCCGCAGTTCCAGCTCCAATTTTAAACACAAGGGTGATGCACCCTGAGACAGTTAAGGGTCCTTAATGATAGGAGCTGATGACTAGAGGGGCACCACGCACCGCCACCCACACTGCAAAGCTGGTTTTATAACTAACATACAATTTCTCCATCAATGTCACTGTTGTTCCGTTCGCGTTAGTCACCCTGGGTGGCTGTTCATTGGATGCTGCCACTGCACAATATTTTTGGAACTGTTTGAGAATTTCCTGCGGGGCCAGTTTACCAGCTTCACAAGAAAACCATTCATTACTTGATCACACCTTTTCAACTCAAACCATCTCTTTGCAACTAGATCACCCACACTACTCACTCTCTAGACACAGCTCAGACTGGCTTTTGCCTGTTAACGTCACAACCACCTTCAAAACATGCTTTGAGAAAGAGACAACCCAAGAACGATGAACCTACTGAGAGGAGTAAACGGTAGCACCTATGACATGGTCTTGCCAAAAGCTGACCTGACCTGATAAGCCTCTAAATGTAATCACCAAGCCACAGGAAATAGAGAAGAGAGGAACATGCCAAATGATACCATGGAGAAACAAGTAAGGATTGTGGGAAACTCTGCGTGACAAACATATTGTCAAATAAATCCCAAAGGAAAAAAGAGGGTAAGGACCAACCTATAGATTAAAAGTCTGGGAAATTCACTGAGCCATACACTCATGATTTGTATGCTTTTTTCTATATATGTTATACTCCAATTAAATATTTAAAAAAACAGACCTGAGACATCAACCAATTGCAATATATGAACTTTATTTCTATTTTGATTCTAACAAATAAAATAGTAATTTTTTTCATCAAACGGTGAAGTTTAAACACTGAGCACATAATGATATTAATTGAAATTACTATTAATTTTTTAGGTGATATAACAGCATTATGGCTAATATTTTTTGAAGAAGCTTTATCTTTTAGGACAGCTAAAATATTTTTGGGTGAAATGATGTGATGTCTGGATTGGCTTCAAAATAATGCAGATGGAGAAAGGGAAGAGTAAGGGCCTAGATGAAATAAAATTGAGCCTAAGTTGATAATTGTGCATTTTATTATTCTGACCGCTTATGTTTATATTTGAAAGTATCCATAATAAAACATTTATCACACACACAGAAAATGATTGTCACCACTGAGGATGGCAAATCAAGATGTAATTACAAAAGAGGTTTTTGAATATGTCTCAAGCAATAGTAATATCACCAAGATACATGAACAGATTTCCAAGGTGAATAATTTGAAGGAAACAGCACTTGTTTAGATACATATTATGGTATGTTTAATTGTTTTAAAACAATTGTATTGGCAGGTGTCCAAAATCTGCAAGAAAGTACTGAGTTAAAGCAAAAGATCGAGTTCTCTTCCTTTTAACACGTGTGCGACAGACCTCTTAGTATGTGTCACACGCTGTGTAGGGCATAAAGGCCAGTGAGGGATGGAGGGGGGCAGGGGAGAAGCGTCCTGGGATTAGGTTCGGCCGTCAGTGACCAAAACCCCAAAGTAAAAGTGTCATGATGAAAGTGTCCTATCCCTCTCATGTGGATGAAGTCCAGGGCTGGTACGACGCCCCCATGGTCATTGTCCACTGTCGACTCTTCCAGAAGACCACCAGAAAAAAGCTGTGATGAACCCAAGCTGAAATGATTAAAGCCACTGCAGTAGGCGAGAGCACCTTGACCAGAGCCAGCCCCAAGTCACTTGGCATGTTGGTAGGAGGAGGTCCAGGCGGAGCCTTCAGGGTGTGAAAGTCTCTGCTCAGCGTTCAAGGTGGGTATCTCAAGGCTGAGATCTAAGAAGAACCGGGCCAGGTTTGTGATGTAGTAGCTTAGGCCCAGCGGACACAAGTCTTGAAGATTCGAGCCTGGATGAGTAAATAGTTATTTGATAAATGAACTGTTTGCCCAGGTGAACAATCTGTCATCCTGAGAAGGAGACTGTTTGCCAAGATGAGCCAGAAATTATTCTTTATGAATTCCCTGAAGCAAACAGTAAAGTTATTTATTGGTTTACAGTCTTATCTTCCCGAACAAGAGTTTCCTAGATAAATAGTAAGTCATGTTAACACAGGAGGTCTTAGATCTTAGTCCTGACGGCTAAGCGATGTGGATGCAGGTGGTCTCACTTCTCGTCATCAGAGACATAGGTCCCTTCTGTCGTGCTGCTTGGCCATTATTCCAATGTCCTCCACCTCCAGCCAGCAAGTAGGAAGAAAGGATGAAAAGGATCAAATGTCCTTCCTTGAAGGATGCCTCCTCGGAAGTAATGTGTGTACGACAATCAGAGGACAGGGCGGGATGGTGGGAGAGCAGAGAGGACACTGCTGCCCTTGCCTTCAACGGCACACCTGCTGCCTTCCTCAGACAGACTCTCTCTGCAGACCTCTCAGAAACACCTTGAATGAGCCCCTAGCTTGACGAGCATTTACATTTCACCTGTCTGTGGTCGCATCTCACTCGGTGGATAGAAGCCTCGACGGGTGTTACGTAAAGTCCACACATATCAGGTGGCCTAGGGATGGAGACCGAGGATTCGTAAGTCCTGGCATCCACAGCAAGACGCTGGTTCCTTCGGGCTGCTCAGCTGAGTCCCTGTTGGAGCCTGATTCTGAAGCTGCCGTTGCATGTGTCCGCCTCTGGCTGACATCGGGATGCGATATCAACGGCTCACTCACGCCTGCCTGGGCACTGATACATCTTCCCCAACAGGGCTGACCCAAGCTGGGGACACTATTACTGGCCCCTCTGGCCACATGTTCTTCACAGCTCTTAGTGCAACATTAGGAGTCATCTCGAGGAAAGCGTGGGAAGTCGGTGACACTAAGAGGACTGGGGGTCCTTGAAGGAAAGACCTCAGGAGGCAAGTGATAGTCTTAGCCGAAATTTCGGCCCAACGTTTTCCCCACGGCAGCAAAAGAAACAGGAGATCGGTCTGAACCATGCCTTTGAACTTCACGAAGCGTCAGGGTCAGTTAAGCATCTAAGGCTGTGCCGGGAGCCCTTACTTCTTACTCTCTGGACTCTTCGGTGGCCCTATCCACCCTGGCACTTGTGCTTCACACTTTGGTCAGTCAGGGACATGTTAGGAAGAGACCACTTTCTCATTTGGTGACGAAGAGTAAAAGACAGCCTTGCAGGGCACGACAGATTCTCCTGGCATAGGCCATCTGGCGAAGTTTCCAGCAGGGAAATTACGGAAAATGTAGGTTACCCTACAGGCACAATTTCCTAACTGAGCTCTGGCAGTCAGCCAGTGGCCCTGAGCTGGTACCACGGCACCATTCCCAACCTGGGGACACTTCGGGCCAAGAAGCCAGATCTGCAAAAGTTATCACCCGGCCTTAGATATTTTTAAAATATTTCACTCCGTCTGGAGAGGCGAAGCTCCCCATATCTGAATTTCTCTGCCCCAAAATCTTCCCCCGTCCAGGGCACGCTTCACGCTGCTGGCAGAATCCTCTTCAATCTCCTCACTCCTTTGCTCGAAAACTACACGATGACATAAATAAGTTTAAGCTTCAAAGCCCGCCACCCTAGGCCTTCTAGAAATCTCGTTCCCAGCTTCCTTCGTCCAGAATGCTTTTATTTTCATCTCCACTTTATCTGTTCATTTATTCATTCCTTCGTTAGCTCAGCAAACAATTATCCAGTCCCTTACTTCATTCAGACACCGTATTAAGCACAGGAGTGTAGGAAGATACACTATATGAAAGCAGATTTTACTTCGAGGTGCTCAGCCCACTGCGTAGGACAGTGAACAGTGCAAACGCGGCCTGTTAAGTTCTGTAGCACCCTCCCTCCGCCCCCCGCCCAAGCCTGTCTTTCGCCTCTTCTTTTTCTATATGCCTCTGCCTTTGGCACTGCCATTATAAGACACAATTCCTTAAATGAGACTGTAAAAGGATCAGGCCTGTCTCTCCCATTGTAAGTTACTTGGGACCTGGGACCATATGGACTCATTTTCTTCTAGCTATCACAGATTTTCCAGAACCCTGTTAAATACTGAATATTGATTGGGTTGAAGTGATGAGTCTTAGGTTAGGCCTTTATTCTGAGTGCATCGAACATGCCCCTCCGTCCCGTGGACTGAGCCAAAGTGCCCTTAGGGGCGATGCTCTCCCTCCTCCGTTCTGTCCCATGTCACCAAGCTAGGACGTTGAGCCTAGGAAAGCAGCCTGGATTAAGCGGGGACTTACTGCGACATGCCCTGGGAAGCACGGCGCTCACCCGAGGAGATCTGGGACGGCCAAGGATGACCCGAGGCCTTTCGGCTTCTGGCGGGGAGGAGTAAAAACAGCCGATCCAATCACACTTCTTTCTGGTTTGTTTCGCCACATAGAGTCCGCGCTTCTCCTACGAGGCAGCTGTGTGTCAGTGTCCAAGGTCGATCTGGACGTAGGTTAGCAAGTCAGCAACGTGTCCCCAGGCTGCTCCGCTGCCAGCTGCACAAGCTGGAGGTAGGGTAGACCTGTAAAAGGGATGAAGCGCTAACGAGGGACAAACTAAAAGCCACGTGACAAGGGGGGACCAGGTGAGGAATGAGAAGCAGAGAGCTCTAATCCAATGGGCAAAGCAGTTTTCCCAGTGGTAAATATGGAAGAGAAAGTCGTCCTTCGCTTGGCCTCCGTGGGCAGAGACTGACCAGACAGGAGAGAGACAGACGGATCAGTAGAGCCTGGAGCTCCCCCATTTCTCCTTGACTTGGCTGAAAGACCCTGACATTTCCTCTCACCCCTCCAAAGTTTTTGACCATGAAGCGGGGAGTATTTCAGTTCAGCTCCTTATTAGGGGTTCATCCCGTCACAGCCAGGCATCCTATAGCTCTGCCTCCAGAATGTTCTGTGACCTCCCTTTGAGAATCACAAATCTGCTCATTTCACACCTCGCTGAAAAGTCCATCTCTCACCCTCTTCCCACCTCGACAGGGCCTGTGTGCCCGAGGAAGTCATCTCAGTAGCCGGAAGCAGCTTTTAGGACTTCTCTCTTCCAAAGGAAAAACAAAACATTTGTTTTAAATTGGATATTGATGAGATTTGGTGTCAGAAAACGTTTATCTCGCAGGGTTGTTAAGCTTAGGTAGGAAAACGTTTGTGGAAACACTTTGTAAATGGTTAGGCTCTGTGTAAGTGCTTCCAGAATGTACGGCAAGCATAGATTACTATCCAGCCTACCTCTCTGGTTGGTTACCGGCATCACCGTCTATTTATTTAGATAAGTCCTTCCCCATGTTAAATTTCCCCTAAACAGCAAAATAATAGGAAGAGTGTTGGCCGAATGACCAGTCCTCACCTGAATGGCTGTAAGCACAGACCACTGAAAAAATGTGGGGGTCTTTCTCGGCGAACCACCTGCCGTAGCTATGAGCGACACAGGGTCCTACGTGGAGGGGTCAGGAAACACACAGAGACGATCGTCTCACTTAGCTGGACACAACGGTCACTGCCACCCTCCGAGTTCAGAAAGCTCACTCGGTTCTAAAGTGCTGACGTGTGAGAGCGTAACTCACCCTAGGGGGGACCATGCCTGCCAGCCCTGCCTCCCACGGTGGCCTCTGTTGGGTCCTGGTCTCGTGCCAAGGTGTGACCTGCAGCTGCCTCCAGGACATCGGCGGGGGTTCCACTGCTCCCCAGAGCTGCTCAACCACTCTGAGGCAAAACCAAGAGCCAGCATGACCCTCCTGCACGCCCCCGGGGACGTGAGGCACACCTTTGAACTTTACATGGCAGGTAGAGGAGATGTGTTACACGTAGGCTCAGGAGCACGCACCCTGGGTTTCCTGGGGCCGCCATAACAGACCCCCGTAAACTGGAGGGCTTAAGACAACGGAAATGTATTCTCCCACGGTTCCGGAGGTGGAATCAGGGGGTTGGCAGAGCCACGCTCCTTCCTGACGTTCTAGGGGAGGGAGGAGCCTTCCCGCCTCTTCCAGTTTCTGGGAGCTCCAGGCGTCCCCTGCGTCTGCTTCCTTCCCTGTGTCTCTGTGCCAAACCTCTCTCTCCTTTCTCTGTAAGGACACCCAACCTAAAGCCACCAAGATCTCAACTTATCTACAACTGCAGAGACCCATCTGAATAAGGGCACATCCACAGCCACCCGGGGGCACTTAGACTCATCTTTTGGGGGGCCGCCATTCCACCCTCTACAGTTGGTTAGAAAACAATCTCCGTTGGAGGGAAGGGGGCACACTCCTGCTCGCGATTTCACTGGCGACCACCGTTTCAGCATGACATAGGGAAGAAGGAGCTGCAACCCACAGGCTGGGGCCCCAGGACCCCGAAGGCACACGCTCCTGCCTGACCCCCCCAAACACTGTGGCTCCTAAGGAAAGTGAGGCCGAAGGAAGAGCAGGGCAGGCTGCCGTCCGCTGGGCAGCCCCGGGCTCCGGAAGGGCCTGAGGACAAAGACACCATTGTCCCTGGTAGCCAAGGGTGGCCTTTGTGTCAGGCTAGCCTTGCTCAAAGGTTTGTCACGTGCACCTGGGGGAGCCGGACTCATGGGACCTGATCAGCACACAGAAGGCTCCTCTTGGGACCAGCCTCGTGGCAGCTCAGGGGAGACTTCTGGAAACCTCTGTTTTCCCACGCTCAGGGAAACCGAGGCACAAGGAGACCTGGTTTTCCAATCCCTACAGAGAATTCAGGACTGTGGAGCCAGTTGACAGTGCCTCTCTCTTCACGCGACATTGAAACATGGTGCCCGATTTAATTTCGTGACCGTTAAACACAGCTCCCTGTGTTGCCCACGAACTGTACCAGGCCTGGCACCGGGCACTTGACATGCATCATCGCTGATCCTCGTAAGAGCCCATTTTATAGATGGGGACACCAAAGAACACAGGGGAAGTGACTTCCAGGGCAGAGCCCCTCAACCTAAAACTTTTGGACTCCGACGTTCACGGGAGTGTTTCTATCGCATTAACTTCTCTCTGCGTAACTCACAGTTTTCTGCTTTTATGTTCTTTCTCCCAATTCGCCATTTTCAAGATTTGCATGTTCAGGAGTCATGGTGAAAAGCTCACCCATAAGCACGTAAGGCGTGTGGAACGCCCAGGTGGTGTCCACCTGTTCGTGTGTGAGCACCTGATAAACGTAGGTGTCATGCATTCAGGAACATTTTGCTGAGCGGACAAACCAAGAACATATCTCGCCATAAAATATTTCCACATGGCCCCTGTGAAGAGGCTGGACTGGCTTGACTCATAAATTCTTTAAATAGCAAGTGGCAATAACCTGTATGACTTTGTAATGGTCCATTTATTCTTCCATCCGTTTATTGTTCTGAGTCAGAATATTAAAGTTCCTGAGTGCCTAGCGCATGACATAGTGGAGAAGAAAAAAACTCTGCAAATTCCAAAGCCAGGGATCAACTTCACGTTTTAGAACAGTAAGCTAAAGATACCTTTGACTTGGTGAAAATAACGAAGGGGTGCGTTTTGTTTTTCTTTTTCGTTAAATTCACTTATGCTTACGTCCTAGCAGCAAACGCTGCGGGGTCAGTTTGCATCTCAATACGAAGTGGAGAGTATTCTCTGATGGAAGGCGCTGCGTCCACTGTCTTTGTATCTGCATCCCTCGCCTTGAACAGTTAAGCAACTAACTGGACAAGCTCAAAGGAGCCAGTGATTCCCCCGCAGTGGGCTAGAGCTCCCCGAAAGGAAAGCTGAGAACATTTCCAGACTCCAGAAAACCCAGGTGCCTCCAAGCGGTGTCCCCCACTCTAGGTTCGCAATGCTGACATCCGAGTCACCGTTGAGACCGTCACGTTCGTCTTGGCCAAGCCCTTAATGTTTAAGAAGTCTGATGGAAGCTTAGCACTCCTCACGGCTAAGGAAAGAACTTAATTTTGAGCCGTGACAGCTTAAGAAAGGACTTTATTAGCCAAGACATGGAGCCCCGGTCAGTTCCTGTGACCCACGTGACAGACACTTCTGAAGAAATCCAGGCCCCATGGCTGCCAGGTGAGACCCATTAGGTTCCCGATGTTCCCAGAGATAAAAGAACATCCTGAAGCAGGAACAGGACAGATTTTGTTCCTGCTGAAAAAAAACCTGCTGAGGATGATTGTTTTTCATTAAGAGCAAGGAGGTTTTATACACAGAGCTCAGCACAGCTCCCATCAAAACCCCCAACTACAGTTCTACCCACAAGAAGGGTCATTTTCAATTTTTTAAAAAATCAATGTAATTTTTTAAATGATAGAATAATATATGCCATAGCAGACTGCGTGCATGGCATCCATTTCTCCACGCTGTCCGTCCCAGGCCCTACCCCACTTTCTGCCACACTCTGGGGCTCCGAGGAGAGCTGGATGCTGCCCTGGCCCTAGCGGGTAGACCAGGTGTCTCAGGCATCCCTCCTCCCGGAGACTGATTTATGACTGATTCAGACCCACAGGGAAGGTGGCCAGGGGTTTCTAGAAAGATCCTTGCACTCTGAAAAATAGGACACCAAGAAAGAAGGCACCTGTGTCTGTGTCTGGACAGCGTTGTGCCTACTACGAGCTCCGAGACTGCCGCAATCGTGGGGTGCCCTTGAGGGGAGCCAGGCTTCGACAGGTCGGGGCAGGGGCAGGGAGTTGGTGCTGGGGCCACAGAGAGGAGAGACAGAAGAAGCAGACCAGATCTTAATGATATCTCTGTCTCCAACACGCCTAGGGCCCTCCTTCTGTGCTGGACTTGCAGTCACGTGAGCTCGCCAACGTCCTCATTGTGTAATCCACTTTGAAGAAGGACTTTCTGTTCCTTGTCACTGAAAGCAAGCTGAGCCACACGCTTGTTTTAGAAACATGTTTAAATGCAGAGATGCGTAAAGAACAACATGAGAATCGCCTATAATCCCACCGTCCAATAATCGCCCCAACATGTGTTTTGTTGATTTTGCATTCTTAAACCGCCGACGCGGTGGTGCTAATTGTGATGGATAATTACATAAGTAATGCACTTGCTTCTTGTAAAAAAAATTCAAATGGCACAACTGTTGAATGCAGACAGTAAATGGCTCCTGTGACCCCATCTCCCGCAGTGGTGGCCTCCGTGCAGTCGGTCACCTATTCTGAGAATTTCCCCCACTCTGCCAGTGTTTCTAATATATGGGCCACTCCCGGCTGATAGAGAACGGCCACATAACCTTCTGAGCCCGTAAGCAGGTAAAGTGCAGTGCGGCTCAGACCAGCGGGATGTCTGGCCTCTGAGAATGGAACACCGGGAGGCACGGGGAAGGGGGTCCCCACTCCCACTGCAGACAGGGCTGGCCAAGCGCCGAGCACGAAGCGTGGGGGTCCAATTCCTGATTCACTGTTGAAGGCTGTGTGGCCTGGAGCAGACCCCCTTAACCACTCTGAGCCTATTTCCTCATCCGTAAAATGGGAATAATAATGGCTAACAGAGTTGTGGAAAGGCTTATCGATAATGCACATAGAACACCCTCAATAAACGGTAGTCGTTATTAAAATTATTGGCCAACTCCTCATAGAAGGCTTATCGATAATGCACATAGAACACCCTCAGTAGTCGTTATTAAAATTATTGGCCAACTCCTCATATTTCTTCCTGGACTCTCCTACCACCTCCTGGCCGACCCTTCGGCCCACCGCCTGCTGTCCTTGCTCCATCTGTATTAGCCGAGGGTTCTTAGGTGTGGACAACAGGATCCAGTCCAGCTCATTCAAACTAGCTCGAAGCGGGTTTCTGAAAGGCCAGAGCTCAGAGAATTGCCGGAGCGGAAACACAGGCCCTTGGCAGCCTTCCAGGGACTGGAAGTGAAGACCCAGCTTGCAGAGGGAGCCGCCACCTCACCAGCATCAGGAAGCTGCCAAGTCGGGATGCTGCTGCCTTGGCTCCCGTGTCCAGAACCGAGCTCCCGCTGCCATCCTCCATGCCAACAAAACGACGCCCTGTTCCCTGCCTCTGTCTCCACAGAAGCCAGTGCTGAGTCAAGGTCCCCTGCAGGAGCATGTGATTAATTGAATCTAAATCACACACCGGAGCCTGGCAGGTTTTCTGTTTCTACACCAGTAAGGGGACACCTACGATCTGGAAATCTGACTACGGTCGGAACGTGGAGAGAAGGTTCAAAACCTCAGGGGCAGCCTCAGGTTACGGGTGGGGAGCAGGCCAAGGATGCGTGCTCCGAAGTACTCCGAAGTCACGTCCCTCTGTCCTTGTCCACGAGACGGTTGTCGCCAGCTGAGCTCAGACATGAGGAAAGGCAGGTGACTAGCGACCCATTCCCAGGGGCACATGATTAACACGTCCTTCACGTGTCACGTTCACGAAGATGCTTGGGGTGCGGTTCAGGGCACACTACCCCCAAAATATGGCACCTAAGACGACCACCTTCCCCCTTTGTTCCCTGAAACAGGTCACGGAACGCTCCCTACGCCCAGAGGAGAGGAGCGCCCTTCTCTCTGAAGACAGAGTGAGTCACCCGGGAGAGCTCCAACGGGCCTTGCTCAGTGCCCCGTGAACCGTGCTTGGCTCCTACTCCCTACCCCTCGGTTCCCCCACGACTGTCGCCCTCCACCAAACCCAACGCAAAACACTCAGGTTTAACCGCGTCTTTGGGTCTTCTTCTCCTTATGAAGGCTCCATGTCACATAAAGCTTGGATTAAACAAATTCGTAGATTTTTCTCCTGTTCATCCATCCTTGTCAGTTCCTCGGAATCAGCCAGGGACCCTACGAAGGTTGTGGAAAACCTTTTCTTCCCCATGCTTGTTAACTCTAATCTCCATCTGGTCAGCTCTCGGGTAGTATAACAAAGGCGCTGAAATTGTTTTCTGGACAATAAAGGAAAATATTGTCAGCAAGGGCAACTGAGGGGCAGTGCCGCCCGCAACAGTCAGACTCCTGAAGTTGTCCCTGTGCTTCTCGAAGCTGCTGCCTTTTCTCCAGCACGGAGTCTGAACGTAGCTGTACAGGCTCTCACTTTTCTAGTCGTCACGGCCCTTGCACGGGAGTGAGGGAGCCAGGAGGTGCGAGCATAGGTCGGGGTGTGTGACCCGGGATCACACACACACACAGTACAGGTATGCTATGAACTGCTGGAGTACAAGGGCCTCTCCAGACATGCCAGGCCGCAGGCCACTTCGAATGGATGAGGACGGTATTAGTTACCTGCGACCGCGGGTGACGCTTTGCAGTCACCCGGCACACGAGTTCATGGAATACCTACCACGGCATCTCACACATATGCAGATCAATGCTGCCTCTCGCCCCGCTGGCCGCCTGGCGCCCTTGACAACATCCCAGTCCGCTCTCTCACAGGGACGCCAGCCCCACTACGAGCTTTTCCTCCAGCGACTGTGGTGACTTGAGACTTGTCCTCTCAGCTCCTGGATGAAGCAGGTCCTTGGTCCAGGGTGGGACAAAGGCCTGATCCACCCAAAACTCCTAAGGAACGGTGGCCTCGTGAGCTTCTAGACTGTGCTCCTTCTCTGGTCGGTGGTGGCAGAGGCTCATTTTCCCGGATGTTCAGCTACCCCTTGGGACCCACTTAGGATGACAGCAAAGCCAGAGCTGCTTTCATCTTGCTGGAGGTGGTGGGATGATTTTACTGGAAGGTACTAGTTATTTTGTTCCCGTTCTAAGCCCCCTGGGATCACCTTGCCAGTCAAAGCTGTGCTCCCTGCCTCATAAGATGAGGATGCTGCACCGAGGTGACGCTAATGGCAGCTAAGTATAGACAGCAGCTCCTTGGTGTGCCGCCCGCGTGTGTGCCTGCACGCCCATTAGAACAATTGCAGGAAGAAGGCTTCCGTGCTGCATAATTATAACCCTGACCTGGGAAAGCACGATCCTCTCTGGCTGGGGCCAGGGCTCTCCTTGGGTTAAAAAAACCGCTGGAAACGCTCTGTCCCTTTGTTACCTTTGGTCTTGGTGGCGCCCAGACTGTGTATTACATAACAGAAATTGTCACTGGAAATGTGTGGGGCTCAAAGGACAGTCTTCTATGGGTGGAGAGTAATAGGCCTCATTAATGAGTCACATTCCTTTCCTTCTCCATCCCTTCTAATTAGGGTGACAGACATGCCGGCTGGCCCGAGACAGTTTCGGTTTATGTCTATCAGGTCAAGGTAATTATTAAAAACACTCCCTTTCACTCTCAGAAGTGATCTCTTGGGTGATGAATTTTAAGATCGCTGGTTTGTAATCCTCGAGGACGAGGTGGGGGACAAAGGCTCTTTGTAGGTGTGGACCCCCGAGGGCCTGCCCACGTACAAGGGGCTTCAGGCTGAAGGACTAGGGGGAAGCCACTTTCCCAAAGCCTTCTGTCTGCTGTGTACCACCTCCCCCCACCCCCGCTCCCTCAAGGACTCTGAGCAGCCAGACTCCCAGCTGCTGTGGCTCCGGGGTGACCAACCCGAGCCAGGCGAACCTGTTGGCCTACTGGGGATGCCCAGCCTGGAAAAGTCAAATTACTTCCACATCCAGTTGATCCTGACACCGACCAAGATGCAATGCTCGCCCCGCTGCGGCCTCCAAAGCTTCTAGTGGTAGGTTCCGAGAAGTTCAGTGCCAGGCCACCTGTCAGGCTGGTCTTGTGTTGAGGGTCTTCTCACCGTGCTAGATCTTCCCCAAGCCCACCGCCACCCTACACAGATGCTCGCCCAGAGTGAGGAGAGTGAGAGGGAAGGGCTGGGTGACAGTCTGCAGGTCGTCTCAAAGATCTGACGCCCCCAAACCAAACCCTTTCCCCCGAAGTCTGCTATAATACAGGACTTTCTAAATCCCTCAGCCCTGCTGAATACTTCTTCCTGCGGGAGATGGCCAGGGCCAAGAGGGGGCTGGGTTTTCTTGAACAATTTGTTGGTGACGGACCAACTCCACAGGGAAACTTCTCATCTAGGGCTTGATCTGTGAAGGTATTCAATAATTCACCAGCTCTATCTAAAAGCTATAGAACGCATCGATCATCATTAGGCTGTCAAAACACTCATTCAGCCGGTGAGAAAGGCTTATTAGGGCTTTTAAAAATGCCAGTCTTTTGCAAAGATGCTGGTTGGATTCCTGCAAGCACCCAAAAAGTGCCTTCGCATACAGATTATTTCGGCAGCCTTTACTGCAGAGAATAAAGACTGGAAGCTGGGAAGTAGATGGCACTCGGCGGACCCAGAATAACAGATACAGCGAGTGGAAAGGATGCTGAAGATTTAGTTGTGAAAATATGGGGTATTGGTCTGGAATCAGTCCTCAAATTCCCCCAACATGCAGCCCAGCCCCCGCTTTTATCCGCAGCGGCGGGTGAAGCGGGGTGAAGAATTTTACAGTCAGCTACCGAGTACCTGCCAGGTAGATCTTTCAAGAAATGAGAGGTGGCGGCACAGAAGTCTGTGGAATTCCAAGGTCGTCTGCATGTGCTGTTACAGATAAAAATGTCTCTTCAAATTCTAAATCAAAACCCTGATTTTTTTAACTTTTTTAAAAAATTAAGTTTATTGGGGTAACATTTGCATGTGCTGTTACAGATAAAAATGTCCTTTCAAATTCTAAATCAAAACCCTGATTTTTTAAACTTTTTTAAAAAGTTAAGTTTATTGGGGTAACATTGGTTAATACGATTATGTAACTTTCAGGTGTACATTATCATTTGACATCTGTATATTCTATTGTGTGTTTACCACCCAAAATCCAGTTTCCTTCAGCTACCATATATCTGATCCCCTTTACCCACTTCACCTCCTGACCCCCCTATATTTGACCCCCTTCACCCGTCTACCAAACCCTGACTTTTTAGACACTTTATGCTAGTTCTCAGCTTGTGAACACAAGGCGGAAGCAGTGATAACATAGGTTTTAGTTTTACTGGGCCCCAGAGGCCAAGGGCTGAAAACCAGGTCCATCACACTGCTGCTGACTCGCTGCCACGAAAGCACACGCCTCTCCCCGTGGCCCTCTCGAGGACTCTGAGGCCCCTTCACCTGGAAGGCCTTCTCCTTCCCAGTCTCTGCCCTCTGGGATCCCGCTCCATCCCTCATGGCCCAGTCCCTCTGTGTACACTCAGCCGGAGGCCAAGGTCACTCCTTCCGTTGGTTCTTGGCCCAGATTTGCTCACACGGTTACTGCAGCTCTCATAAGACTCTGCCTCATGCAGGGGTCCCTCAGGCACACCAATTCTCTCCAGCGGGGAGCCCCCAAAATGCATCTTACATCCATGCGAAGTGTTGCAGGGCTTAAAAATACATACGAGTCAAAACTTTTTCATTCTCCTTGACCACACAAGGAACCAACTTCCAAACAGGCCTTGGTAAAGGGGGTTTTCAACCTAAGGGTTCTGTCCTGTCCTGTTCTGCCCTGTTCTGCCCTGTTCTGCCGAGGACGCTCAGAGACTTGGAAAACATCGCCCACGACCTCCCCCAACGCCAACCTTGTTCCTTTTTTATTTAGGAAACAAGGTTTTGTTTTCTGGGTATTGAGAAGGAAGAGAACATGCTGCTTTGATTGCAACAGGCAGGGTAATCAGAGCTGACAATGTCCCTTTTCTCAGAGGTGGCCAGCAGCAGCAAAGGGCTGTCGCCACCCAGAGTGAAGGCCCCAAACCCCCTCCCCACCCACACAGCCGAGAACAAGTCTGATCCTCAAAAGGGCCTGAAACAAATGGGGTCACTGATGAAACACCCCAGCCCAGGCTTAGTTGACTTGGAGCTTTAGACAAGCCACACAGATAGATGCACACACGCTCTGCCCAGTGTAAAACACCCACATTTGTATTTTCCTGTTTATTTACAACTGGTACTGGCCAGATGCAGGAAGGAGCTGGAAAGGGGCAGTTTTCTGAAGTAAATGATTAAAATAAATGACTAAAGCAAAACAAGGAAACGGCTCTGCCGCAGAAACTGAGGGACACCTGCTCCTCTGTGTTCACGGCGGCGGCCTCCAGACGCTGACGCTGCGGCTCTACGGTTTGTCTGAAGTTGGTGCTCGACTTTCGAATTATGAGGTGGGGTGGCGGGAAGGGAGTGGCTCCTAGGATTGCTATGATAATGTCACTTATCACAGATATTCAGGTGGCCACATCAACGGTGCCGTAAGATCTTGCCTAAGGTGGACGTGGCCCGCTGACACGCACGTCTCCTGCCCCCATAGGGCGACCTTTGCGGATTTTATTTGCACCCACATGTAGCAGCCAGGGTCTCTCTCCCGGGACCAGGAGACATGTGCCTGGGAGTATTTCAGGCCTACCAATAAGATAAGAGGTTGTGTTTTTAGCAGTTAGGAGCAACCACAGCATAAAGTAAAAATACAGCAACAAATCTGTCTCGTGTTTAACTCTGCTGCCCTCGTGGGAAGCACAGAGGAGGCCCTAGGATCTTCATTTCTGAATTGTTATTTGTCGCAAAGACAGTCACAACCTCGGCCCCAGCAGTATTTCGGGGGTGAAGGAGCAGAGAACAGACTCACCTTGGCTGGCACGTCTTGCACCTGGAAGATCTTTTCCTTCTAGCTCATTCCTTAACCAGTATGCTGCAGCAGATGTGTTTTGGGGTACGTTCAGTTTGTGACCCAGAAAGTGCCCAAGAGGAGGGCTGGCAGGGAAGGCGAGGGGACGAGATGGAAGAAGCCAGCACTAGCCCCTCACGCCGTGGCCGCGGGCAGAGCAGCGCTGCCTGACACACCGGGCAGGTGACCAGGAAACCCCGCTGGGCAAGTATCCTGACGAGGTGCCCACGCCTCCTTCCCAAAACGTAACTCGTTGGTTTCACATATTTTTAAAATGCCATAGTAAAGCATCCTTCTATTTCAAAATTTAAACTTTAAAGTTCAATTAAAAGTTTAAGCAGAAATGCTGTTTTCCTGGCTAAGATCACACTGCGTGTCTCAAAGGAGTGGAAGAGCTTCCGAGGGTGGTGACGGCAGGCTGGAGGCTTACGTGCTTTTTAATCCATCTTTTGGGACGTTAAGGGGTCAGGTACACGCTCAGCTGCTCAGGACTGTCCTGGCTGGTAGACTGTATTTTTAGGCCACTAAGTCTGTGGTATTTTCTTACAGCGGCCACAGGAAACTGATACAATGCCTTTCCTGCTCTTTTTCCTTGCATATATATTTTCAACCAAAAATCCAGGATCATACCGTATGTAATATTTTAAATAGTCTCTTACTGAAGCATAGCATCCAAACAGGAAATCGTGAATCCAGCATACGGCTGGACTGCCGCAGAGTGCCCCGTGTGACCGCACCGACTAAGAACTCTGATACGACTGCCCCCAGAAGTCCCCTTAGCCTATTCCCTGCCATCCCTCCCCAAAGGGAAACCCCGCCTGACACCCACATCATAGCCCAGCTTCCCTGTGCATGAACTCTGAAAGTGAAGTCATGCAGTAGATACGCAATGTTCTCCTTTTTATTGAAGTATAATTTACACATAGTAAAAAGCGCACACTTTAGGTGTTTTTACATATGCAGACACCCAATGATCACCCTGTGGATTAAGATAAGGAGCTGTCCCCAAAGCTCCCTTACTCCTGCCCCACCCACGTCCCACCCCCCAAATAACCAGTTTTCTTATCCGTCACAAAAGAACTACTTTTGCCTGTTTTTGGACTTTGTAGAAATGAAAGCATCCAGTATGTTGAAACCTGTTTTTTTTCCCCTCATTCATCAAAATGTGATAAGCTCCTTCCCCTGAACCGTAACTCGTTTAATCAATTTCCCCTTTTTATCTCTGGTTGCTTCCCTTTGGGGCTAATTTTGAGCATTAAATATCAAAGGTGCATCCGGCCTCGCTCTGGGAGGGCGAAGGGCTGCCTGCGGCGAGGGTCCCGGCGCGCACAGCCTCCTGGCTGGCCCCCCACGCGCTGTCAGCACCGGGGGCAAGTGGCTGTTCCTGGAGCCGCTTCCATAACTGATGGCTGCAAGACCGAGGCTCTGGAGGGTGACCGAGGACTGTCTCCCACTGGAACAATTGTGTTCCTCATAGTTCTGAGACACAGGCCACTTCCTCTCCCCACAGTCTGCCAACTAAAGGGTATTTCCTCCGGGCGCTCAGTCCACGGGTCTAATTACTGCGGCGGGCAAGCCTGGCTCAGGGCTCCATGTTCTCGGACAGGAAGTCCTCTCGTGCATTCCTCGGAAGATAAAGGCTGTTCCTGGGCGAAAACCAAGGAATACAAGTCCACTCCTGGACTCTGGGTGACGTGACGCGAGGCAGAGGCGAAGCAGTCTGCGCAGGAAGCACGCAGCGGCAGCACAGGGTCTTCCAAGGAAAATATCCGCGAGCCGACAAATCACGATGAGTCACGACGCCGCACGTCAGGACATCGGCATTTTATGCACTTAGTTAAGGTAGTGGGTAAGGGCCTGTGAACGGCAGTGGAACTGGGGACTCTGACGGCTGGAAATCAGTGGTAAGACAAGGAACAGGCTGAAACACAGTCGCTTTCGCTAAGCCATGTCATGGAACCCACACTCAGTAACTAACCTCACGCGGTGGCAGCCCCTCCCAGGAGTGGAATTTTAAACCAACCAACCTGGAATTTCCTGACCAGTACTAATGAGGTGATCTGCCGGATAAGAACCCTGCCGTTTCCTGCCCCCCAAAAGAGGAGCTGGCCTAAAAATAATTCTTTTCTTTTGCTAACAAGTCCCTTCCCTACCCTCTGCCGATGAAACCTTCCTTAGGTACAACCCCTGGCGCTCCCCTCAGGTGCTGGGGAGTACGGGGGGGGCGGGGTGCTGCTCCATTCATGTATAGCGTGACAAAGCCCATCGGACCTTCAAATTTACGCTGCCGAATTTTGTCCTTTAACAGTAGGTTCTGGGTACTTATGGGTCATTTTGTCACTTTTAGAATACGGGGAACAGTATCTGCTTCCAATGCCAGGTATAAAAACTAAATGCTACAGAGAGTAGAAAATACCTTTGAACAGGTAGTGTCAGGTAACTCTGACAGAGGGAGGCAGTTAAAAATCTAACTAAACATCCATCCGTGTCACCAGAATTTTCTTCTTGGGATGACCACGGTTTTAAAAATCACTTGGAACGTGAAATGACAATATTCTACAATAATCTTATAAAGCTGGCCCTGTTTTATTTCATTTCCCTGTGTGCGCATGCAAGTGGGAGTGTGTGGGGCGAAGGGAACTGAAAACAATGATGTGAACCCCAAACTGTCACATTCAGAGACTGTGGCATGAAGCCTATCAGCAAAGATTCTTTGTCAAAGGGACTTTTAGGTGTCGCTGACAGAGCTGGAATGCTCCAAAGTTAAGCTTGAAAACTCAACCGCTCACACGTGTAAAATCTTTAAAAACACTGTACAATAACCACAACACGTGGTTAGCAAGAAAGTCAAAAACAGCACCTTTAAGTCACTGAGACTCGTCCAGGCCCCTCAGTGAGAGGTCACCACCGACCCTCGCGACCTCCGTGCGGGCCTCGGGGAGGCTCTGGTCTCTTCTCTCTCTGGCCTCTGTCAATGTCCCTTTCTCTCTCCTTGTCTTCATTAACTGGCATAACAGGGAATGGAAATATAAACTTTGTACTTAAAACACTTTAATGTTTTTATGTTTTGTTAGCTTAAAACCAGCTGAATGAGATGTTTTTTCACTTTTAGTGGCTGAGAGTTAGGTATGGCCCACGTCCCAATCCCAGCAGTCACTAGCTGTGGGTCTCTGGTAGTGACTGTCCCCGTGCCCTGGCCCTCTACCTGTAAAGTTAAAAAAAATGATCTCAGCCTCAGAAACTCGTTCTGAGTAAATGAGGTCAAGCGAAGCGCTGAGCTGCGTCTAATGGGTTAAGTGGTCCTTCGGTGGAAGGTGGTTTTTTTCGGCATCTTTCCTCCCTGTGGGTCTTCGGCTCGGGGGGCTGAATAAATGAGTCCTCATCCAACCCCAGGACCTGAAGTCATTAGAGCTCCAGAGAGAGCCACTGTTCTCCTCCACTACATAATCGACTGACTCCCTGGTGGTGAACTGCGGCCTGGGGGATACGTGAGCGCCTGCGGGTGAGGCACGAGCCGCCGCTCCTGTGCACAGTGGGACCCAGGACCGCTGGCGGGACACGGCGTTCACGGGGCGGCCAGGCGTCACGGGCCAGGATGGCGGCGGAGGCTGGAGCACGCTCTGTCCTGGCTCCAGAGCAGGCCTGAGTCACTCCAATCTCTCCTTCCTTGGGAGCAGGGGTGGGGGGGGTGATCTCCTTGATTCTGAGATGAAAAGGCAGTCCAGTGGAGGGTTCCAGAACGGGAGTTTCTATTGTGGTGTGTTTTCTGAACTCCCCTTATCTGCCTAAAAGCGGAGCCTCCCAAAGGTTCGATTTCACAGCTCCCCTCCCCAGGCGGGGTCACCACCTGGGAGAGACCCCTCTTCCGGACAAGTCTGCACCCTAGTAAGGAGCAGGCAGTGTCACATAACTAAGCTGCAGCTGAGGGTGGACGGCGTCCCCTTCAGGCCTCAGAGTGTGGTCCCCAGACGAGAGCACCGGCACCAGCTGGGCGCTGGAGGACAACGCAGAGTCCCCGGCCTCCCCCGACCTGCCGCCCCGTGCCGGCGTGGCAGACCCAGGGGCCCTGTGTGCAGTCGTGTGGGGAGCACTGGACGAGCGCACCTTCCTTTACGTTCTGAGAGTCAAAAGCAGCAGGATGGGCCTTCCTGAGCACGTCGGATACGGACTAGAAAATAAAAATGTGGCCTAAATCGGGTTTGTGCCTGCTATACTTCATGATCTCCTCCTGGGGCGAGATGTCACCCTGACATGCGTAAGGAGTTTTCTGGAAAAACAGTGACTTACCTGGCAGCTGACTGGCAGGACCTCTGCCCAGCGTTTCTCCTTATTCAGCCTAGTGACCACGATCCAACCTCCGTGTTTTCCTACAGGACGCCCCTTCCCCAAAACGAGCTTCTGAACGGGCCTCCTGGGGCCCCTCCCCTAGCGTACGAGATGGGAGCGAAACTTTAACAGACGCCTAACTACACTGAGAAGTCTCCACTGGTCTGAGACAGAGTCGGACGGAGACCACCCAGGGTGGGGGACCGCGGGTGAGGGTGTGCTGACGCCTCCGGGACACGCGGGAGGCGCCGCAAGCTTCAGACACGGCGAACCTCAGCCAGAGAAACAGCACGACACGCAGGGGCAGCGAGACGGAAAGGCAGCCGCTGCGACCAGGTGACCAGGTCGTGGGCAGTTCTGGTAACGAACGCTGAGGGCGGCTTGAGCAGAAACGACCCAGGACGGTGGCACAGGGACAGCGCGGACGGGGAAGCGGGGGGAGGGGAGCGCCCGGCTGGAATCCACCAGAAGGGAAGTCAAGGGGCGGAGGTCACACACGCTCTTCAGAAGTGGGCGACGCGTGAACTTGGAGGAGCCACCCACAGCCCCCCAGCTGCTTGTGGGGAGCACTACGGGAAGTGGGGGGCAGGCGGGGAGG